GTCTCTCTCTCGCCTACTGGCTCCTTTAGGCCCAAATTACGATTTGGGTCTCGCTTGGGTCCTCTTTTGCTTGATCGCTAAGGAACGCTTGCAAAACACATCTCTGGCCACTGAAACTCCTTCGAAGTGACTGCTAGGACAAATAGGAAGAGTTCACTGTCTCTCTCTTGCCTCCTGGCGCCTTTGGGCTCAAATTCAATTTGGGTCTCGCCTGGGTCTTCTTTTGCTTAGTCGCTAAGGAAAGCATGCCAAACTCATCTCAGGCCACTGAAACACCTTGGAAGTGAATGCTAGGACTAATAGGAGGAGTTCCCTGTCTCTCTCTAGCCTCCTGGCGCCTTTGGGCCCAAATTCTAGTTTTGGTCTCGCCTGTGTCGTCTCTTGCTAAGACACTAAAAAACGCGTGGATAATCATCTCGGGCCTGTGAAACACCTTCGAAGTTACTGCTAGGACTAATAGGAGCAGTTCCCTGTCTCTCTCATCTCCTAGCGCCTTTGGGCACAAATTCAAATTTGGGTCTCGCCTGGGTCCTCTTTTGCTTAGTTGCTAAGGAAAGCATGCAAAACTCATCTCAGGCCACTGAGACACCTTGGAAGTGACTGCTAGGACTAATAGGAATAGTTCCCTGTCTCTCTCTCACCTCCTGGTGCCTTTGGGCCCAAATTCTAATTTGGGTCTCACCTGGGTCCTATTTTGCTTAGTCGCTAAGGAAAGCGTGCAAAACTCATCTCGGGCCACTGAAACACCTTGGAAGTGACTGCTAGGACTAATAGGAGGAGTTCCCTGTCTCTCTCTCGCCTCCTGGCGCCTTTGGGCCCAAACTCCAATTTGGGTCTCGCCTGGGTCCTCTTTTGCTTAGTCGCTAAGGAAAGCGTGCAAAACTCATCTCAGGCCACTGAAACACCTTGGAAGTGACTGCTAGGACTAATACGAACAGTTCCCTGTCTCTCTCTCACCTCCTGGCGCCTTTGGGCCCAAATTCTAATTTGGGTCTCACTTGGGTCCTTTTTTGCTTAGTCGCTAAGGAAAGCGTGCAAAACTCATCTCGGGCCACTGAAACACCTTGGAAGTGACTCCTAGGACTAATAGGAAGAGCTCCCTGTCTCTTTCTCGCCTCCTGCCACCTATGGGCCCAAATTTTAATTTGGGTCTCGCCTGGGTCCTCTTTTGCTTTGTCGCTAAGGAACGAGTGCAAAACTCAACCCGGGCCACTGAAACACCTTGGGAGTGACTGCTAGGACTAATAGGAGGAGTTCCCTGTCTCTCTCTAGCCTCCTGGCGCCTTTGGGCCCAAATTCTAGTTTTGGTCTCGCCTGGGTCCTCTTTTGCTTAGTCGCTAAGGAACGCTTGGAAAACTCGTCTCAGGCCACTGAAACACCTTGGAAGTGACTGCTAGGACTACTAGGAACAGTTCCCTATCTCTCTCTAGCCTCCTGGCGCCTTTGGGTCCAAATTCTAATTTGGGTCTCGCCTGGGACTTATTTTACTTAGTCGCTAAGGAAAGCAAGCAAAACTCATCTCAGGCCACTGAAACACCTTAGAAGTGACTGCTAGGACTAATAGGAAGAGTTCCCTGTCTCTCTCTCGCCTACTGGCGCCTTCGAGCCTAAATTACAATTTGGGTCTCGTCTGGGTCCTCTTTTACTTAGTCGCTAAGGAACGCTTGCAAAACTCATCTCGGGCCACTGAAACACCTTAGAAGTGACTGCTAGGACTAATAGGAAGAGTTCCCTGCCTCTCTCTCGCCTACTGGTGCCTTTGGGCCTAAATTACAATTTGGCTCTCGCCTGGGTCCTCTTTTACTTAGTCGCTAAGGAAAGCATGAAAACTCATCTCAAGCATCTGAAACACCTTGGAAGTGACTGCTAGGACTAATAGGAATAGTTCCCTGTCTCTCTCTCGCCTCCTGGCACCTTTGGGCCCAAACTCTAATTTGCGTCTCGCCTGGGTCCTCTTTTGCTTAGTCGCTAAGGAAAGCATGCAAAACTCATCTCAGGTCACTGAAACACCTTGGAAGTGACTACTAGGACTAATAGGAAGAGTTCCCTGTCTCTCTCTCGCCTACTGGCGCCTTTAGGCCGAAATTACGATTTGGGTCTCGCCTGGGTCCTCTTTTGCTTAGTCGCTAAGGAACGCTTGCAAAACACATCTCGGGCCACTGAAACACCTTGGAAGTGACTACTAGGACTAATAGGAAGAGTTCCCTGTCTCTCTCTCGCCTCCTGGCGCCTTTGGGCCCAAAGTACAATTTGGTTCTCGCCAGGGTCCTCTTTTGCTTAATCGCTAAGGAAAGCGTGTAAAACTCATCTCGGGCCACTGAAACCCCTTGGAATTGACTGCTGGGACTAATAGGAAGAGTTCCCTGTCTCTCTCTCGCCTCATAGCGCCTTTGGGCCAAAATTGCAATTTGGGTCTCGCCAGGGTCCTCTTTTGCTTAGTCGCTAAGGAAAGCATGCAAAACTCATCTTAGGCCACTGAAACACCTTGGAAGTGACTGCTAGGACTTATAAGAACAGTTCCCTGTCTCTCTCCCGCCTCCTGGCGCCTTTGGGCCCAAACTCCAATTTGGGTCTCGCCTGGGTCCTCTTTTACTTAGTCGCTAAGGAAAGCGTGTAAAACTTATCTCGGGCCACTTAAACCCCTTGGAAGTGACTGCTAGAACTAATAGGAATAGTTCCCTGTCTCTCTCTCGCCTCCTGGCCCCTTTGGGCCCAAATTCTAGTTTTAGTCTCGCCTGGGTCCTCTTTTGCTTAGTCACTAAGGAACGCTTGGAAAACTCGTGTCAGGCCACTGAAACACCTTGGAAGTGACCGCTAGGACTACTAGGAACAGTTCCCTATCTCTCTCTCGCCTCCTGGCGCCTTTGGGCCCAAATTCTAATTTGGGTCTCGCCTGGGACTTGTTTTGCTTAGTCGCTAAGGAAAGCAAGCAAAAGTCGTCTCAGGCCACTGAAACACCTTAGAAGTGACTGCTAGGACTAATAGGAAGAGTTCCCAGTCTCTCTCTCGCCTATTGGCGCCTTTGGGCCTAAATTACAATTTGGGTCTCGCCTGGGTCCTCTTTTACTTAGTCGCTAAGGAATGCTTGCAAAACTCATCTCGGGCCACTGAAACACCTTGGAAGTGACTGCTAGGACTAATAGGAAGAGTTCCGTGTCACTGTCTCGCCTCCTGGCGCCTTTGGGCCCAAATTACAATTTGGGTCTTGCCGGGGTCCTCTTTTGCTTAGTCGCTAAGGAACGCGTGCAAAACTCATCTTGGTCCACTGAAACACCTTGGTAGTGACTGCTAGGACTAATAGGAACAGTTCTGTGATTCTCTCTCACCTCCTGGCGCCTTTGGGCCCAAATTACAATTTGGGTCTTGCCGGGGTCCTCTTTTGCTTAGTCGCTAAGGAACGCGTGCAAAACTCATCTTGGTCCACTGAAACACCTTGGTAGTGACTGCTAGGACTAATAGGAACAGTTCTGTGATTCTCTCTCACCTCCTGGCGCCTTTGGGCACAAATTCAAATTTGGGTCTCGCCTGGGTCCTCTTTTGCTTAGTTGCTAAGGAAAGCATGCAAAACTCATCTCAGGCCACTGAAACACCTTGGAAGTGACTGCTAGGACTAATAGGAACAGTTCCGCGTCTCTCTCTCGCCTCCTGGCGCATTTGGGCCCAAATTCCAATTTGGGTCTCGCCTGTGTCCTCTCTTGCTAAGACGCTCAGAAACGTGTGCAAAATCATCTCGGGCCTGCGAAATACCTTGGAAGTGACTGCTAGGACTAATAGATGGAGTTCCCTGTCTCTCTCTGGCCTCCTGGCGCCTTTGGGCACAAATTCTAATTTGGGTCTCGCCTGGGTCCTCTTTTGCTTAGTTGCTAAGGAAAGCATGCAAAACTCATCTCAGGCCTTTGAAACACCTTGGAAGTGACTGCTAGGACTAATAGGAAAAGTTCCCTGTCTCTCTCTCGCCTCCTGGCGCCTTTGGGCCCAAATTCTAATTTGGGTCTCACCTGGGTCCTCTTTTGCTTAGTCGCTAAGGAACGCTTGTAAAACTCATCTCGGGCCACTGAAACACCTTGGAAGTGACTGCTAGGACTAACAAGAAGAGTTCCCTGTCTCTCTCTCGCCTCCTGGCGCCTTTGGGCCCAAATTCTAATTTCGGTCTCGCCTGGGTCCTCTTTTGCTTAGTCGCTATGGAAAGCGTGCAAAACTCATCTCGGGCCACTGAAACACCTTGGAAGTGACTGCTAGGACTAATAGGAAGAGTTTCGTGTCTCTCTCTTGCCTCCTGGCGCCTTTGGGCCCAAATTACAATTTGGATCTCGCCTGGGTCCTCTTTGGCTTAGTCGCTAAGAAACGGTTGCAAAACTCATCTTGGGCCACTGAAACACCTTGGAAGTTACTGCTAGGACTAATAGGAAGAGCTCCCTGTCTCTCTCTCGCCTCCTGCCGCCTTTGGGCCCAAATTCCAATTTGGGTCTCGCCTGAGTCCTCTTTTTCTTAGTCGATAAGGAATGGGTGCAAAACTCATCCCGGACCACTGAAACACCTTGGAGGTGACTACTAGGACTAATACGAAGAGTTCTCTGTCTCTCTCTCGCCTCCCGGCGCCTTTGGGCCCAAATTCCAATTTGGGTCTCGTCTAGGGATGGCAATGGGTAGGGTACTATAGTACCCATCCCCATACGCGCATTTTAAAAAAATACCCGTACCCAGCCCCATACCCGCATGGGTAGTACTTTTAGTCCCCGTACCCGTACCCTCTGGGTACCCGCATTCCCATACCCGCCCCTATTACCCGCGCATGTCTAAGAAAAAAAAGCAGTTATAAAAAAAATATGCTTATATATTTTTACCGAACAAAGTTTAAGTATAAATAAAAATAAATATTCAAAGATCATAAGTGTTAAGTGTATCTTAAGACATCAATTTTCTAAACTAAAGTACTTAAAAATCAAACAAAATTACACACATAATCTTCAAGATCTTGTAAAACAACTAACTCTTAAACTTTATATTCCTGTATTGTCACTCTGCAAGACCTAAAAAAATAGCATTAGTTAATTATTTATTGTAAAGTCAAAATAGTATAGTTAGGCTATTTTACCTCTTCATCAGAATCAGACTCTCCAAATGACTGTAAACGTTTATCTTTCAAGTTTACATATTGCTTTGGTCCAGTAATACCAATAGAAACTAAAACATACAAGTACATAATATGAAAATCAATAATTAAGCTATCAAATTAAAATTAACAAAAATATTTAATTAAATAAATATATTAATAGAGTATTCAATACCTTCATTTTCATGTTTCAGCCAACTTTGTGCACACATGAGTGCTTCTAAAGTATCTTCATGGAGTCGAGAACGATGAGGACTCAACAATCTACCTCCTGTGTTAAAAGCAGACTCTGAAGCAACGATTGAAATTGGGATGGCCACATGTCTGTTGTTAAAGCAATTCTACTTCCAATCTTCTCTAAGAGTCCCATAGTCTTCAACTTTTCATTCAGATATATTTTGATAATGTCACCTTTTATTGTGTTCCGACTAAGAACCTTGAATAAAGGTTGGAGGCCTTCAAAATATGCTCTAAACCCCAAATGGTCTACTATAGAAAGCGGATACTCATGAATTATTATCATAGAAGCAAGATCTCTTCTAGATTGTTCTAGATCAAAGTGATAATTACTCAAATAAGTGGATGATCCGTCTACTTTCTTTTGTTCTCTCAATAAGATTGATTGTCTTATATCCTTATATGGCCTCCTCTTACAAGTTTGAAAGTGTTTATGCAAATGATTTGTTCCATCTGATCTTCTACCTGTCAGTTGCTTGTTACAATAATTGCATATAGCTTTTTCTTCCCCATTAATAATTTTTTTCTTAAAGTGATTCCATACAATCGACATCTTTCTTTTTTTTTCATCATGAGTTGCATCACAATCATCTCCATCCACCGAAATAGGAAGTGTATCAGACTGGGATTGAGATTGATCTCTAATATCAGAACTGTCACTCGGTCCAGAATCATTAAGTGTACTTTTAGGAACATTTTCAGGTTGTGTGGGAGTAATGAAAATAATTGGAGAAAAGCTACTTTCAGATTCCTTTGAAGGAGTTATTTCATGTACATTTTCCATTTGTTATTACCTATATAAAAGCAAGAACTTAAATAAAAAATCTTATTTAACCCAAGTCAATATAATATCACATAATTTTAATCACTAAATTTCTAAACATTTTGTATGTTTTATATAGAAATAATTTTTTAAAAAAAATTAATCGCATATCAACTATATAATAATTAAATTGTATTAGTCTAGTTAAACGATATAAAATAGTAAATAAATTTTTCTTTTAAAAATATGCAAAAAAATTATTTTTATAGTTTACTTTATTGATAAATATATTTTTATGTTAATCTTATAAAATAAATTTAATTAGATAGATTTTTATATATTTAAATATGCATTCTTTTATTTGAGTAACATAAATATTTATATTAAATTTCTCAACCTTTTATTTTGCATAGAATTTTTTTTGAAAATATAGTATTATAAAATAAAATAAATATGACCTATAAAAGAAGTCTGAATTGAGTAAAAAATATAAGACATGAAATTATATAAAATAAATAGTAAAATCATTATCTTGACCAAAATTTTACAAAAGCATCCACAAAAACTTTCTAAAATATAAAAGTAGGTTAGGTTCTTGTTTTCTTAAATTATTAGTTCCTCCATTATAAGTAAAAAATTATTCAAACTATAATATATGAAATTAGAACAATAAAAAATAATTAGAAATATCAATAATAATTATAATAGAGTTTTAGGCTTACTTGTTGAAGACTTGCAAAATTTGTTGTACTTGATCTCTGAATTCTATAAGAAGTGATGGTGAGATCCTTCTGTAAGTTACACTCCTAAAGCACAACTCTCGATAGGCAAATTGTGGAGCAACTCATATAATTATATAATTATCAATGATTATAAAAGAGACCTAGCCTTGAGTAACATAAAGTATTAATCCTAATTCCTTCCCATTATGGGCTTTTGGGTTAAGGCCTCCCTCACATAATAATAATAATAATAATAGTATATGCGGGTATGGGGCGGGGTGGGTACTTAGGTATCCATACCCGCCCCCATCCCCATGGAAATTTGCGGGTATTTCCCCATACCCATACCCATACCCGTGTAACGGGTAAATACCCTACCCGTTGAGGGTAAATTTTGCGGGTACCCATCGGGTACTTTACCCATTGCCATCCCTAGTCTCGTCTGGGTCCTCTTTTGCTTAGTCGCTAAGGAAAGCGTGCAAAACTCATCTCGAGCCACTGAAACACCTTGGAAGTAACTGCTAGGACTAATAGGAAAAGTCCCTGTCTCTCTCTCGTCTCCTGGCGCCTTTGGACGCAAATTCTTATTTGGGTCTCGCCTGGATCCTCTTTTGCTTAGTCGCTAAGGAAAGCGTGCAAAACTCATCTCGGGCCACTGAAACACCTTGGAAGTGATTGTTAGGACTAATAGGAACAGTTCCCTGTCTCTCTCTCGCCTCCTGGCGCCTTTGGGCCCAAATTCTAATTTGGGTCTCGCCTGGATCCTCTTTTGCTTAGTCGCTATGGAACGCGTGCAAAACTCATCGCGGGCCACTGAAACACCTTGGAAGTGACTGCTAGGACTAATAGGAACAGTTCCCTCTCTCTCTCTCGCCTCCTGGCGCCTTTGGGCCCAAAATCCAATTTGGGTCTCGCCTGGGTCCTCTCTTGCTAAGACGCTAAGGAACGCGTGCAAACTCATCTCGGGCCTCTGAAACACCTTTGAATTGACTTCTAGGACTAATAGGAACAATTCTCTGTCTCTCCCTCTCTTCCTGGCGCCTTTGGGCCTAAATTCCAATTTGGGTCTCGCCTGGGTACTCTTTTTCTTAGACGATAAGGAACGCGTGCAAACTCATCTCGGGCCTCTGGAACACATTGGAAGTGACTGCTAGGACTAATAGGAAGAGTTTCGTGTCTCACTCTCGCCTCCTAGCGCCTTTGGGCCTACATTCCAATTTAAGTCTCGCTTGGGTCCTCTTTTGCTTAGTAGCTATGGAACGCATGCAAAACTCATCGCGGGCCACTGAAACACCTTGGAAGTGACTGCTAGGACTAATAGGAAGAGTTCCCTGTCTCTCTCTTGTCTCCTGGCGCCTTTGGGCCCAAACTCCAATTTGGGTCTCGCTTGGGTCCTCTCTTGCTAAGAAGCTAAGGAACGCGTGCAAACTCATCTCGGGCCTCTGAAACACCTTGGAAGTGACTTCTAGGACTAATAGGAACAGTTCCCTGTCTCTCTCTTGCCTCCTGCCGCCTTTGGGCCCAAATTCTAATTTGGGTCTCGCTTGGGTCCTCTTTTCTTAGTCGCTAAGGAACGCTTGCAAAACTCATGTCGGGCCACTGAAACCCCTTGGAAGTGACTGCTAGGACTAATAGGAATAGTTCCCTGTCTCTCTCTCGCCTCCTGGCGCCTTTGGGCCCAAATTACAATTTGGGTCTCGCCTGGGTCCTCTTTTGCTTAGTCGCTAAGAAACGCTTGCAAAACTCATCTTGGGTCGCCGAAACACCTTGGAAGTGACTGCTAGGACTAATAGGAAGACCTCCCTGTCTCTCTCTCGCCTCATACCGCCTTTGGGCCCAAATTCCAATTTGGGTCTCGCCTGGGTCCTCTTTTGCATAGTCAGTAAGGAACGCATGCAAAAATCATCTTGGGCCACTGAAACACCTTGGAAGTGACTGCTAGGACTAATAGGAACAGTTCCCTTCTCTCTCTCTCGCCTCCAGGCGCCTTTAAGCCCAAATTCTTATTTGGGTCTCGCCTGGGTTCTCTTTTGCTTAGTCGCTAAGGAAAGCGTGTAAAACTCATCTCGAGCAACTGAAACACCTTGGAAGTGACTGCTAGGTCTAATAGGAACAGTTCCCTGTCTTTCTCTCGTCTCCTGGCGCCTTTGCACCAAAATTCCAATTTGGGTCTCGCCTGGGTCCTCTTTTGCTTAGTCCTTAAGGAACGCATGCAAAACTCATCTTGGGTCACTGAAACACTTTGGAAGTCACTGCAAGGACTAATAGGAAGAGTTCCCTGTCTCTCTCTCCCCTCCTGGCGCCTTTGGGCCCAAATTACAATTTGGGTCTCGCCTGGGTCCTATTTTGCTTAGTCGCTAAGGAACGCTTGCAAAACTCATCTCGGGCCACTGAAACACCTTGGAAGTGACTTCTAGGACTAATAGGAAGAGTTCCCTCTCTCCCTCTCGCCTCCTGGCGCCTTTGGGCCCAAATTCCAATTTCGGTCTAGCCTGAGTCCTGTTTTGCTTAGTCGCTAAGGAACGCATGCAAAACTCATCCCGGACCACTGAAACACCTTGGAAGTGATTGCTTGGACTAATAGGAAGAGTTTCGTGTCTCTCTCTCGCCTCGTAGCGCGTTTGAGCCTAAATTCCAATTTGGGTCTCGCTTGGGTCCTCTTTTGCTTAGTCGCTAAGTAACGCGTGCAAAACTCATCGCGGGCCACTGAAACACCTTGGAAGTGACTGCTAGGACTAATAGGAAGAGTTCCCTGTCTCTTTCTCGTCTCCTGGCGCCTTTGGGCCCAAACTCCAAGTTGGGTCTCGCTTGGGTCTTCTCTTGCTAAGACGCTAAGGAACGCGTGCAAACTCATCTCGGGCCTCTGAAACACCTTGGAAGTGACTTCTAGGACTAATAGGAACAGTTCCCTGTCTCTTTCTCGTCTGCTGGCGCCTTTGGGCCCAAACTCCAAGTTGGGTCTCGCTTGGGACCTCTCTTGCTAAGACGCTAAGGAACGCGTGCAAACTCATCTCGGTCCTCTGAAACACCTTGGAAGTGACTTCTAGGACTAATAGGAACAGTTCCCTGTCTCTCTCTCGTCTCCTGGCGCCTCTGGACCCAAATTCCAATTTGGGTCTCGCCTGGTTCCTCTTTTGCTTAGTCGCTAAGGAAAGCATGCAAAACTCATATCAGGCCACTGAAACACCTTGGAAGTGAAAGCTAGGACTAATAGGAACAGTTCCCTGTCTCTGTCTCGCCTCCTGGCGGCTTTCGGCTTAAATTCTAATTTGGTTCTTTCCTGGGTCCTCTTTTTCTTAGTCGCTAAGGAAAGCATGCAAAACTCATCTCAGGCCATCGAAACACCTTCGAAGTGACTGCTAGGACTAATAGGAAGAGTTCCCTGTCTCTCTCTCGCCTACTAGCGCCATTGGGCCGAAATTAAAATTTGGGTCTCGCCTGGGTCCTCCTTTGCTTAGTAGGTAAGGAACGCTTGCAAAACTCATGTCGGGCCATTAAAACACCTTGGAACTGACTTCTAGGACTAATAGGAAGAGCTTCCTGTCTCTCTCTCGCCTTCTGCCGCCTTTGGGCCCAAATTCCAATTTGGGTCTCGCCTGGGTCCTCTTTTGCTTAGTCGCTAAGGAAAGCATACAAAACACATCTCGGGCCACTGAAACACCTTGGAAGTGACTGCTAGGACAAATAGGAACAGTTCCCTGTCTCTCTCTCGCCTCCAGGCGCCTTTAAGCCCAAATTCTTATTTGGGTCTCGCCTGGGTTCTCTTTTGCTTAGTCGCTAAGGAAAGCGTGTAAAACTCATCTCGAGCAACTGAAACACCTTGGAAGTGACTGCTAGGTCTAATAGGAACAGTTCCCTGTCTTTCTCTCGTCTCCTAGCGCCTTTGCACCAAAATTCCAATTTGGGTCTCGCCTGGGTCCTCTTTTGCTTAGTCCTTAAGGAACGCATGCAAAACTCATCTTGGGTCACTGAAACACTTTGGAAGTCACTGCAAGGACTAATAGGAAGAGTTCCCTGTCTCTCTCTCCCCTCCTGGCGCCTTTGGGCCCAAATTACAATTTGGGTCTCGCTTGGGTCCTATTTTGCTTAGTCGCTAAGGAACGCTTGCAAAACTCATCTCGGGCCACTGAAACACCTTGGAAGTGACTTCTAGGACTAATAGGAAGAGTTCCCTCTCTCCCTCTCGCCTCCTGGCGCCTTTGGGCCCAAATTCCAATTTCGGTCTAGCCTGAGTCCTGTTTTGCTTAGTCGCTAAGGAACGCATGCAAAACTCATCCCGGACCACTGAAACACCTTGGA